TAAGGAATTTTGAGGGCCAAACTCTTCTCAGTGGTACGTAAAATATTGTCTCTAGGTTTGCCAGGCTTCTGCTTAACAGTCTTCTAACACAAAAGATATCTATTGGTTTCTAAAAGAAAAAAAAAAAAAAAAAAAAAAAGGAAAAAAAAAAGGATCCAATATAACAAGCTCTGGATTTTTTGGTATAAATGAATTTTGCAAAATAATGTTTGACAATGACAAAATGATGCAGACAACTATTGGAAAACTACTTGTGTTAAAGCATAGGATTATAACAGTACAGCAGTGCATATCTATAAAGAAAATCCTGTATCTAAAGGAAAATACGCCCTTTAAAAATGAAACTCCTGCTATATTTCAGCAATGCAATATTTCAACTTTTCTGCAAAGTGGCGCCTAATTCAGGGCAAATTTCCACCAAACCTCCTACCTTCTGTGCTGAAGGGCAGCCCCTTGCTGCTCCGGCAGGTCGTTGCTGCTCTCCGTGGGAGCTGGTGGGGCTGTGCCTCTGCTGTGGTCTCCTCACGGGGTGTTCCTTCTCCTGGCAGGTCTGCAGCCTCGGGAGGCCTGGTGTCTCGTGGCGAGGACTGAGCTGTGATATCTAGCTCCAGTTTAAGCAAGGACAAAAGATTTACAGTTTCCAGTGATGATCAAAGTGGAATCCAAAAGCAATGGTGAGATTAGGAGGAGTAACTCAGGCCAGGGAATAAAGATACACAGACAGCTATGAATTAGGGAGCTTCAACTTGCATTTATGACAGGAATGAGGAGAAAGCTAGAAAATATATCAGAATCACACTGAACTTGTTTTTTTCTTCAAAAAATATAGCTCTGTTCATTACTTTCCTGGTATCTGTTATATGGTTGCTTCCCTGAGCCTATAGCAAGTTGAGGCCACATTTTTCTTCCCTCGTAGCACCACATCAGTGAGTACAAGATAGAAGGCATGTAATATAGACAGGCCCGAGGGATATACAGTCTAGCCATTACCTTCCACAGCTGAGAAAATTGTCACTGATTTTATGACCATCTCAGTGCAGAATAGTGAAGAGGAAAGCCTGTACTGCTCACAGGATGAGCTTGACCACTTATTTATTGGTTTGCACCAAGTGAAGTGAATCATCAATAATTTCTTTGGGTTATGTATCTTTGATGGCTAGAGGTTTAAATATCACTTGGGGCCTTTAATTCATATTTTGGCATCTAAAGAAGCAAGCAGGCTCTTTAAGAAAAGCTGGGTGTATTCTTTAGCCTAGGCTTGTCTTACCTATATCTGAGATGTCTACATGAGGGTTATGATATAGTTTGCCAATGGACTATATGGAGAGGTCCCTCAGAGGTGATGCAGTCTATCCAAAACCTCAGGCACCCTTTAGAGCTGCAGGGCTGTTGCCTTGCAGGATTTGGAAGGCAGTGCTCCTGATGTAGCCATTTGTGTTGGGTGCCCAAAGCTCGTGGGGATCACTCCTGATCTGCACACGTTAGA